CAGTGCTATCAAGGTGAGTGTGTGTGTAAGTATGATATATATCCATGATAGGAAGGGCAGTGAAAGCATAAAGTGTAAGGTGTGTGTTTTTCATGGCAAAAGAAGTATGCATGTAGATATGTAATCTGTGTATAATACCCACGGAGTACAACATGTTTATAGGGATTATGCATTTTGCATCTTCACATTTAGCCTTTCCAGTGAACAAACTCCTCTTTGGAGTGTGAATACAATAACAAGATCATCTTATGGGAACACATTTGATGAATTCACCAGTGGGTCAATGGTGAATTGGTGATCAGTACCATTTATGATGTTTATGAGAGGAGACAAGTAATTGTCATTTTTTTTTGAAAGAAAAGTAACTGTCATTTTGTATGATACATATACTTATATATTCACTGTACATTTCATTGGAATTTTAAATTTGAATTTTTATTCATTAGGTTTGAGGTTGTAAACTCAGGACCATTAATATAAAATAGATTTGTGTTGTATTTCTGCCTAAATGCATAATTAGACAGAAAAGATTACATGCTATTTTTATTAAGAAGCTTACACCTTGGGGTGAGGGGTTGTAGATAAGGATGGTAATGGGCCATTCCTTCTATGGGATAGATACTGTAACAAACTAATATGCATGACAGCAATGCAACTGACGGAAAAATATCTGGAGGTATGTATTAAATCCACTTTCCAGTTTTAATGATTAACTTATTCTTTGTATATGTCTATTGTTTAGTTAACAAAAGAACTGCCAACAGAAATTTAAGCATTACGTGGTATTGCAATGGTTTTGAAGATTGCTTTAGCATTTTTTTTCTTATTACCTTATGAATGTGTATATTGTTAAGTCTTTATTATTCTCTCTGTTATGTTGATGCAGGAACTAAGCATGTTTTCAGTTACAGGCCATTCTACAAAGCAGCAGTAGTCAACTACGCTTAGAGTTTTTTGGTTCCAAAGTTTATTGTGTAGTGTATTAATAACGTTGGGTTATTGAGCATGAAACAAATTATGATTTATGTAAATTGTAAACTTTTTTTTTTTTGAGAAGTAATTCCTTTTTTTTTTTCTCCACTTAGAGATACCATCCTATATTGTAAAATCATTCTTATGTAGTCTTATTACAAATCATATATTGTAATCTGATGTAAAATTTTTAATAAATATTTAGTTCGTGCAAATAGTTCGTTAAATAAACTCTGATTAAAATAAGTTGAGTAATAGTACTATCATTCAATACCAAATGCAGAACAATTTAATTTCAATTTAATGTTTTTGTAAATATTCAATATTTACATGACCTAATTAAGTTATATTTGGGATGATGAGTTTGGTATTTTTGTTTAGTATTGCCCTTATTTAATTTCAAATTTTATTAAATTTATTTATTGTTTATCTTTTTATTTAGGAATTTCTGTAGGGAAATGAAGATTTGAATGACAGCGATGAGTTTTCATTAACACAGAGCTCAAAAAAGTAAGAAGTTTGTTGTTAAAGTTGAGAAAGTGAAGGATTTGTGAACTTTTTGGTTTGGTTTTTAAACATTGATCGGTTTAGGTGTGCTTTTAGACACTTATGCTTATATACATATATAAATATATATATATATATATATATATATATATATATATATATATATATATATATATATATATATATATATATATATATATGTATATGTATATATATATATATATATATATATATATATATATATATATATATATATATATATATATTTATATATACATATACATATATATATATATATATATATATATATATATATATATATATATATATAATAAGTATAGGGATTAGTTATATGGTCAAAAATTGCATCAATACCAAATTATACTTACTGATTTCTTAAAGTAGCAAATTATTACGACAAATTGTTCTTGATCAAATCTTATGAAACCTAAAAATATTATTTGAGTCAAATATGAATTAAGAAAATTAAGTAATTGTAACATTCATTTAAGTTTAACTCCAAACCACACACATTGTGATATGGTATATATGTATAGTTTATTATTATCATATATCCATTTCATTTTTGTTTATTACAATAACACTGTAAATTAAAATTTTATTTATGGACCGTGCATCGCACGGGTACAATACTAGTTGTAAAAATATCAACTCAAGGTCATTATTGTTTGATAAGAAGGAATATAATGATGCTCTAAATGACATTGGTTATGAATTTTTGTTATTTAAGGGAGATTGCATATGAAAGTTATTAGAAGTGGCCAACTAATCATATATGTGTAGGACTACATACTTCACTTCCCTTTCCCTTCAGCCGGCCGGCCTTAGCTTAAAGTGCACTGCTTAGATGACAAGACGATTCATAAACGATATGGGCGGATGACACATATGCATGAAATTCCTTGTCCTTGTCTAAATTGCACATAATTTCAGGATCCAACCCAATCCACACTTCTATTCCCCCATCTTCACTATCCACGAAAAGAGCAAGGTCCAACAGTGTTTGAGGCATGCCAATCCATATTGGCTTGCCCCACCCAAAATCAACTTCACCCAGGGGAATTTTACACAAACTACTTATACTCAAAACTTTTGTCTCACCTTTTTTGTAATCTACTATCTTTGATTGTTGAGATGTTATGGATCTGAGAAACCCACCCTCCACATGCATTTCCCTCACGTAGTCGTTTGAAACCTTGTCCATGGCTTCCACCACTCTTCCTACAAGTGACCGGCCAGTAACCGGTCCGCCTGCGGCGCCGCCATGGACTTCCCACACGGAGTCGGTCCCTTGGAGGATGTTGCCTAGGCATTGCGAAGGTAAGGGCGGGTTCAACTTATTTCGCAAGTTCATATAATGTGTGAGCAAGTGGGTCTTGAGGGTTGGCTTCGCCACTAGAGTTGCTCTTATCACTGCCGCCCATACGAACGCCGACAGCGACACCACTCGAGATGGACGGCGGTGGCGCTCCGATTGGCTGTACTGGTTCCTGATCCGCTCGGTATCCTGCTTGCTAAAAATATATCTTTTCGACGCGTATTTTCCCAGCTTCTTTTTCATTATTCCCGACATGACAGTGCGCATTGCCTGGACAATGGTGGAATTCCCCGGCGAGAAAATTGCGGCGACGTCCACGACGAGACCACCGCCGGGATTAGTGACCACCCTTTCCCCCCGGTTTATTGCCGCCATGGTGTTGTAAAAATTGGCCATCGCAATTCCATCCACCACCCCGTGCCAAGTGCAGAACGCCACCGCAGTTCCGCCGCACCGGAACCTGTTCACCTGAACAGCTGACATTGGCATGGCCGGATCAATAACCTCTGGGTACGGGTCAAGTGGAAGCAGCTGCCGTAGATCTTCCAGCTTCGGGTGCCGGAGAAACTCACCCAAATCGTAATTTGTAACATTTGCTCGGACGAAATCCGCACCCTCATCGTTGCACTCTATTGTTGATCCATCTTCAAGAAGCCTTCCGGCGAGCGGGTACAAGATAGACAATGTCTTAGAGAGGGATTCTTTGAGCTCATCATAATCGTGGCGACGAGGGCCGGCGCCGGAGGGGTAGAAGAAAACATGGGGCCCATAAAAAGGTCCAGCAAGTACGTCAAGGAGAGAAAGCTTGTAGTATCTCAAGGTTTGGGGAGTAGGTGAAGATGGCCTCACTTTCTCTTTCTGATAAACTTCAACTTTCAGGGCCATTATTATTTATTAGGGGGATGAGTTTCAAGCTTCAACAAATTTCATGGCTGCTTATGGTTACGGATGCTCTATTTAAATCCGGCGAGTTGGATAACTTCTGTTGCATGCAATCCTTAAATAATATTTTCTTATTAAAATGCATGTTACCCATTGGAGTTTTTTTTTTTTTTTTGAAAGCACACAGCCCATTGGACTTAGTTTTTAATAAATATATTATTTATAAATTCTATATAGTACAAAATAAATAAATAAATAAATAAATAAATAAATAAATAAATAAATAAATAAATAAATAACGAAAATGAGACTCCAATAATTTCTTATTATAAAAATAAAAAAAAAGGGTCAAATAGACCCTCTACTTTACTGAAAAAGGTTAATTAAGAACATTCCTAATAGCATATTTTAGAAGGTTTTTGGAACAGTAAAAACTAGGAACAACATTTTTAACAAATGGGAAGTCTAAATTTTGGTAACATCTTTTTCCTGCAAAACATGGGATTTTGCAGGTGAAAGAAAAAAAATTAAAACAGACTGTTAGGGATTCGCGCTCACGGACTGCTTGGGATTCGCGCTCATTGGACATTTAATTTGGCTTTAGTTGTTTTTATTTTTAAGCTGGCCAACCGCCAGTTGCTTTCATATTATTTTTTATTATTTTTTAGCTGGAAACGGTCAACTTATTTTTATTTTTTAAAGTTTTTTTTTTTATTTTGTTATTAAATTTGTACATAGTAAGAAAATTTGCTCTCTAGGGTTTGCTAGAGTCTCTCTCCACCCCTAGGGTTTTTCTAGGTCTTTACGTGATTTCTTTGGTTTTTTCCGGCAGTTTTCACCGGTATTTGCGTCGGCAGTCTCTAGATAGTAGCATGGCGTCGCAATAAAGGATGGTGTTGCAGCGCTAACTCAGCAATGGGCTGACATCGCCTTGGATGATGAAGAGGACAGTATCTTTAATCCGAACGGGGGGCCGACGATGAACAGCAAGCAGACGTTGAGCAGACATGGGGAGTTGTTGGAAGGTTTCTAATGAACAAACTAATCAAGGTGGAATATATGCGGCAAGTCATGGCCTCTGTTTGGCAACAGGTACGGGGGGGTTCAGGTTTCGGAGATCCAACCGAACCTGTTTCTCTTTGTTTTTTACCATGAGACGGATGTGCAGTATGTACTGGAGGAGGGCCCGTGGTTGTTTAATAATCATACGTTGGTATGTAAGAAGGTTCCAGATGGGGTGCTCCCGGTCGATGTGGTGCTAGACACGATCAATTTATGGGTACAGATACATGATCTACCCATGGGCTATACGGCTATACCGATTCTTGAGCAAATTGGAGATTTCATTGGTATTTTTGTTAAGCTGGATGACAGATTTATTGGGGCACCGTGGCTGACTTACTACCGTATCCGGGTTTCAATACCGGTAGACAAACCGATTAAGCAAAGGATGAAGCTACTAAAATGGGATAAAACAACTTGCTGGGTCAATTTTAAGTATGAGAGGCTGCACACATTTTGCTTTTTCTGTGGTATGTTGGGACACTCTTACAAGTTCTATCTAAGGGCTAGGGAATCGGCAATACCGGTAGAGCAATATCCGTACTCTGCAGATTTGCGTGTGGGAGGGAATCGGGGGCCACGCGAAATAGGTGACCAGGACTACCGAAGAGGCAGTCGGCAGAGGCTGTTGATCCGAGGGAAGTAATAGCGCGAGAGGCCGGGGAGGAGGTGACCGCGCTAGCAAAACGCCGCCGTGAGGAGGAGGAGAGGGGAGGAGACAGGCAGGAGGGGGGTAACAGTGATGTGACGATGTTGTATAGCTCAAAAAACTTGTTTATGGCAGGTTCTGGATCCCAGGCCCGCCCGACCCAATGAGTACTCTGAGCTGGAACTGCCGTGGCTTGGGTAATCCACGGACAGTTCGTGATGTGGTAGACATGGTGTCCCGTAAGCAACCCGACTTTGTATTTCTAATGAAGACTAAAGTGGGACGAGAGCACGCTGAGCAAATTCGTGTCACTATTGGTTTCGAGGGATTATTTTATGTTAACAACAATGGTTTGAGTGGTGGTTTAGCGTTGTTTTGGAGAAAGAATAGTACGACGAGACTTCTGAGTTACTCAACGAATTATGTTGATATTGAAGTAACTATCACGGGTCATCCAGCCTGGTGGATGACATGTTATTATGGTTTTTCGGAACGAACCAGGCGTACTAAGTCTTGGGATCTCTTAAGGGCATTGGCGGCAGCATCAAATCTCCCATGGACTGTTATGGGGGATTTCAATGATTTACTATTTCAGCATGAGAAGAGAGGGGGGAATTCGCGCCCGAATAGCCTCCTTCGAGGTTTTGGGGATGCTCTTGAGGATTGTGGTCTGGCCCAGTTACCAATGGCTGGTTATCCGTATACTTGGGAGAAGGGAAATGGGACAGTAAATTGGATTGAGGAGAGGCTCGACAAAGTCTTGGTTACGAATGAGTGGCGCAATATAGTACCGCATGCGAAGGTCACGAATTTGAGAACTAGGAAGTCTGATCATTCGGCTCTTTTTCTGGGAATCCATGAATCCCTAGGGACAAGTGGAACTGGGAGAAGGGGTTTTTGATTTGAGATGGCCTGGTTATATGATGAGGGGTGTAGGGATGTGGTAGAGCAGTCATGGCAGGAAGGAAGGGGTCAGGGTTTGCAGAACTGTATTGAGTACTGTGGGAACCGATTAACACGATGGGGTGGAGATCGATACCACAAGTATGGGAAACAGATTATGGAACTGAGAAAGGATCAACAACGCTTGAGGGGGTGCACTGATCCGGCCTCATTGGCCGAGTTTCAGCGTATAGAGCAACTACTAAGCCGCACTGAGGCCTAGGAGGATGCCTACTGGAGACAGAGAGCAAAACAACACTGGCTCAAGGAGGCCGATGCCAATACGAAATTCTTTCACAGGTATGCCTCTCATCGTAAGAAAAAGAATATTATATCTAAAATAAGGAATGACAATGGGGATTTGGTGGAAGGGGAGCCTATGAAAAATGCTATTTTGGATTATTTCAATAATATTTTCTGCTCTGGAAATCCGGGATCTGGGGAGTCTTTCTTTGAGGGAATTGTACCGCGGGTATCACAGGCACAGAATGAATCATTATTATGACCTTTTGCTCCTGAGGAAGTTAAGAATGCATTGTTTGCTATGTATCCTGATAAAGCACCAGGCCCGGATGGAATGAATCCGGGTTTTTATCAGCATTTTTTGGATGTGGTAGGGGGGATGTAGCGAATTTTGTGGTTGATTGCCTTGAATCTTGTGATTTACCGCCTGGATTGAATGATACAGATGTTGTTTTGATCCCTAAGAAGAATACCCCAGAGTTGGTAACTGACTTGCGTCCTATAGCCCTTAGTAATGTGGTTTACAGAATTATGGCTAAAATAATAGCTAATAGAATGAAGCCTTTAATGGAGGAGATAATATCGAAATCGCAGAGCACTTTTATCCCAGATAGACTGATAACTGATAATATTTTGTTAGTTGCGGAAGTCGGGCATTTTTTAAACAGGAAACAGTGTGGATTGAGGGGATGGGGTACTCTTAAACTGGATATGGAAAAAGCGTATGACGGTATGGAATGGTCTTTTCTTCGTAACATGATGTTGGCACTGGGATTCCATAGTAGGTGGGTAGATTTGATTATGAAATGTGTCACCATAGTTTCTTACAATATTTTGGTGAATGGCTCTCGAAGTAACCCTATTGTACCCACACGTGGTCTAAGGCAGGGAGATCCGTTGTCTCCATATCTATTTATTATTTGTGCAGAGGGGCTTTCCCTATTATTGCAACAGGCACACAGTGCGGGGTCAATTCATGGATGCATAGTAGCAAGAGGTGTTCCCCCAATCTCTCATTTATTTTTTGCGGATGATAGTCTTTTATTTTTTAAGGCTAATGTGGAAAAGGCAAATGAGATAAAGAGGTGCTTGTCGTTTTATGAGAATTTATCTGGGCAAGTGGTTAACTACCACAAGTCAAGTATATGTTATAGCAAAAATACGAGTTCTACAGACAGGGAAAGTGTGGCTCAGGTTTTGGGAGTGGGGCAGGCTCCAAATTTTGGCAAATATTTGGGACTTCCTTCTTTTGTTGGAAGGAACAAGAAGGCAGCTTTCGCATATATTGAAGATAAGATTCGCCAAAGGATTGGATCGTGGAATAAGAGATTGTTGTCACAAGCAGGAAAGGAGATCCTTTTGAAAAGTGTAGCACAATCTATGCCTACCTTTTCAATGAGTGTCTTCCTATTGCCACTGTTAGTGTGCACGGCGATTGAGAGAACTACGAATAGATACTGGTGGGACTTTGGCACCGGCAGACGAATACATTGGAAGGCATGGGATAAGTTGTGTATTCCTAAAAAGTATGGAGACCTGGGTTTTAAAGATTTACGTGCTTTTAACCTAGCTATGTTGGGGAAACAGGCTTGGCGGATGCTTACTAAACCTGAATCCCTAGTGGCTCGTGTCTATAAAGCCCGCTATTTTGCCAAGGGGACTTTTTTTGATGCACAGGTAGGGAATAAATCCCAGTTTCTGTTGGCGGAGTATTATGGCAGCTAAGAGTATAATTTGTAGTGGGGTAAGACGCAGAATTGGAAATGGGGAGTCTACACTCATATGGACTCACCCCTGATTGCAGGATGAACAGGACCTCGTGGTACAAACAGAAATGCCAATGCAGTTACAGGGGCCAAAGTGGTGGGATTGATTGATCAACAAACTGGTACATGGGATCATTCTATTCTAACGGATTTATTTCAACCTACTGATGTGACAAGAATTATGAGAATACCTATTTCCCCGGATTATAATGATACATGGTACTGACATGGGGATCCGAGAGGAATATATTCTGTGAAAAATGGGTACAGGCTAATAGTGGGAAATTATGAGAATAATAGTGGGACTTTTACCAAATGGTTGACCCTATGGAAGCTCAAAATCCCCAAAAATGGAGAATGTTTCTTTGGAGAGCCATTTGTGATATATTGCCTACGATGAATGTAGTTGTATATTGATAATAATAATCAGACGACAATACAAAGGATATATAAGCAAGGAAGTAAGACTAGAGTCCTAGTCTAACACATACATGAATAGAATTCTAGTGTACCATAAATACAAGTCCTAACACTCCCCCTCAAGTGCAAGGTTGATAGCCAACAACATTGAGCTTGTCACGTAAAAACTGATAGCGCTTGCTGGCCAAAGACTTAGTAAATATGTTAGCAAGCTGATCCTATGTAGAAATAAAATGAACTTGTATTTCACCCTTAGACACTTTGTCACGAACAAAGTGGTAGTCGATCTCGACATGCTTCGTCCGAGCATGAAAAACCGGATTGGCACACAGGTAGGTGGCCCCTAAATTGTCAGACCATAGCCGAGGCGGAGCCGTGAATGAAATACGCAACTCGCGCAGTAAGGAGACAAGCCAGGTGACCTCAGCAGCCACATCCGCAATAGCTTTGTACTTAGCCTCCGTGGAAGAACGGGTCACAGTACGTTACTTCTTACACACCCATGAGACCAAGTTACACCCCAAAAACACCGCAAAACCACTCGTTGACTTTCGATCAACCGGATCACCAGCCCAATCAGAATCAGAATACGCATGAATAGAGGCAGAAGGCGACTTCCGGATAAACAAGCCGAGATGCGTGGTACCTTTCACATAGCGTAGAACCCGCTTGAGCATAGACCAGTCAGCCGTGGTAGGAGCTTGCATGCGCTGACAGAGCTGATTCACCGCAAAAGAAATATCAGGCCTGGTGACAGTAAGATACTGAAGAACCCCAACCACACTCCGGTACTGAGTAGGATCTGCATACGGAACCGCGGACTCCTCAGCCACCTTGACTAGAGAGACCGGCGTGCCAAGGGCCTTGCAATCAACCATGCCAGCTCGCTTCAGAAGATCACCCATGTACCGCTTCTGAGACAACAAAAGACCACCTTGATGAGAGACCATCTCAATACCAAGAAAGAAGGACGGAGCCCCCATATCTCGAACCTTAAAAACAGTGGCCATCCGAGAAAGTAAGCTAGCGACCTGAGCCTGATCAGAACCAATCACAAGAATATCGTCCACATAGACGAGAACAAATAACTGAAAATTAGAGCTAGAGTGAATAAACAATGACACATCAGTTTTCGAGGAAGCAAACCCAGCAGAAACCAAGAAATCATGTAACCGAGTAAACCACGCCCGCGGGGCCTGTTTAAGACCATAGAGCGACCATTGTAGCAAACAGACATGACCTGGTTTACTCTTATCTTCATACCCAGGCGGCTGATGCATATAAACGGTCTCCGACAAATTTCCATTGAGAAACGCATTGTGAATATCAAGCTGCCGGATCACCCAGTCACAAGACACGGCAAGAGAGAGCAACGTATCAAAAAAATCTTGACCAGCCACTTGGTTAAACCCCTTGGCCACGAGCCTGGCCTTATATCGCACAACAGAACCATCCGCCTTGCGCTTGGTCCGAAAAACCCACTTACAGACGACAACATTCATACCGGGAACCTCCGGAACTAGCCGCCATGTGTCATTATGCAGCAATGCATTAAATTCAGTGTCCATCGCCTCACGCCACTGCGGAGATTTCACCGCTTGAGAAAAGCATGTCGGATCTGGATTAGAAGGCTGAGCAACCAGTGCCACATGATCCCCGACAGCCACCCCCATACTGCGCAAGGACATAGAGTGCGACCTTGGGAGGAGCTGCTGACGCCGCCGGCGCCGAACCGGGACTGCCGTGGGCGTTGAGGCTGTCGCTGCTTCACTGGATGGAGCAGCAGCATGCAAAGGCGCTGCCTGCCGCAAATCAGGCACAACACCCGTCTCCTGAGCTGCACGTGGAGCTGCCGGAACAGGTAATGACGGCAAACACGAGGCAATAGGCACAGGAGCCACAGACCACGGATCAGATGCATTCTCAGAGGGCAAAACCTGCGGAGCAGAAGCAGAAACAAAAGGGAACACGGATTCATCAAATCTCACTTGTCGGCAAACAAAAACCTTATTGGTGGCAAGATTCATGCAACGATAACCATGAAAAGAATCAGGATACCCTAAAAACACACAGGGAGCCGATCGATACTCAAGTTTATTTTTATTATACGGGCGTAGTAATGGAAAAAAAAGACATCCGAAGACTCGCAAAAACGAATAGGAGGGAGGAGAGCGATATAGCAATTGATACGGACTAGAATTCCCCAGAACAGACGTAGGCAACCTATTAATAAGATAAACGGCGACCTCAAAAGCATACTCCCAAAATCGAATAGGAACAGAAGCCTGAGCCATTAAAGCAAGGTCGGTCTCAACGACATGACGATGTTTTCGCTCAACCCGGCCATTCTGCTCATGCGTATAGGCACAGGATTGACGATGAACAATACCAAGACTAGTGAGAGTAGTATGTAATTTTTTATACTCTCCCCCTAAATCTGATTGTAGACACTTAATTTTGCAGGAAAAAGACCGCTCAACCATAAGACGAAAATGAGCAAAAATATCATATAAGCCCGTTTTTGCACGGA